GGCCACGCACTATAAGGGAACCTTGGTCTGTGGCGGGACTTCCTGTTGGATTTGGATCTGTTTCGAGCAGAGTTTCGCACTCAAGAAACAGAATTGAACTCTAGATCCCGCAGATTATCAGTTTTTGAACATTTGCATAGACAACTAAGGGATCGCTCGGGGTACACACCACAAGTCGGAATGAACTCTCATTTAGATGGACAACATGAACGCACACTATCAGCGCAGTGATACAATACGAATGCTGACTTGTCATTTGCATGGACAAATCAATAACATAGATTCCTAATATTCACGCTTGTCATCGCAAACATCGATCCCCTCCTTGACATGAGCATGTATAGGACTGTAAGACATTGGCATGAACATCGGAGATCGAAATACTTGCAAGGTCATCGACGTGTCGTTTCTTTGCATGGACAAGATACATAACGTCCATTCAGAACATTTACTTTAAGGGAAAACATGTTAAAATATAATCTTGTGGAACATGATGTGCATGTGCACCTTTAAATGGTGGATATGCAGACAATCACACGTTGTCTCTCGCACCTATTGCAACTATTGCCTCTCGCACCTCTATCTACTACTTCATACACGTTGCCTCTCGCACCTATTGCAACGCCTCTCACACATCTATCTACTACTTGTTTTTTGCTTCGAACGTTTTTTCGGAAACAACCCTTGTCTACTTTGCAATGTGCGGTTCAGTGGTTGGAGCATTTATCGCAACTCTGCGTGCGCTGTTTCCATGTACGAAGGTGCAGTGTTAGGAAAAGACTATGCAAGTTGCGAGTGTTTCCATCTCCACGACATCGCAAGACGACGTAACATCGCAACACAGCACAAGATAGTTGTAAAACCAGAAGAGTTCATTAGAATTACAATCACCCTTAAACACAAGGTCTGACCACACGTCCGTATCTTGTGACATACAAGGTTTCTCGCGGACGACGTCGTGAACCGAAACCATACATGGCATTCATAGATGATCCATATACGTGGCTCTGCGGATCGTGGACAGTTGCATTCTCCAAAAACACGGACATGTATTTCATCCTGACAAACCCTTCTGATCGTGCTAAGGAATTCCCTATACAGTCTCGTATATCGGACACTTTCTCTTCCACCTCATGCCACAATGATAAACATCTGACCCGACCTTCTCTCACGAAATCTGACCGCCCATCTACATCGGGGGGAGACATCACGGGCTTGAACTTGGATCCCTAAAGTACCATCTCGTTCCGTGCCACGAGCACAACTGCATCCACGAGTTTTCTACTTTTGTTTGAAGAAGCCGCATATAGCACTCTCGCGAAAGGACACCCGTCATCAGTCAACCGCACACAACATGTTAAACACAAGGTCTGACAACCCGTCCGGACCTTGTGACATATAAGGTCTCTCGCGGACGAGGTCGTGAACCGAAGCCATACATGGCATTCATAGATGATCCATATACGTGGCTTTGCGGTTCGTGGACCGTTGCAATCTCCAAAAACACGGACATGTATTTCATCCTAACAAACCCTCCTCGTCATGCAAAGAAATTCCCTATACAGTCACGTATTTCAGACACTTTCTCTTCCACGTCACGCCATAATGACAAAAAAATTCTTACCTGACCTGCTCTCACCAAGTCTGACCACCCATCTACATCAGGGCGAGACATGACCGCCTTGAACTTGGATCCCTGAAGCACCATCTCGTTGCGTGACACAAGCACAACCGCATCCACAAGTTTCCTGCTTTTGCTTGAAGAAGCCACACATAGCACTTTGGCGAAAGGACATCCGTCATCCGTCAACCG